AAGAGAGGGCGGGTATGATTAGAATGAGGGAAATATTGCTAGCTGGATCAGGGGAGGTGGATAGTGTGGCTAGTGAACACTTGGCAAGCCCAGGGAGTCCATGGACAAAGTAACGGGCCGGGTCGGGCAGCCGTTTGTAATAATGCAATCGACATAAACAGAAGATGGCACCGTGTGTGGCAGCTGAAAATAAACTGCGGGATTTGCGTCACGCAGGATGGATGGGCAGGTGAAGTGTTTAGGAAACAGGAAATGAGACGGTAAGGCTGGGGCACGAAGAGGGGGTGGATCTGTCTTGTTGTGCCTTCAGAACCGAATCGTTGGAAGCGGAGGGTACGAATAGCCAAACTGGGCTGACTGAAGGAGATGAAATAAGAGGCTTATGGTAAGAGATGTCAGATAAGGGGAGGGGACAGAGTGCAGTGAGGAAGTTAGCGGTGCAGTCGAACCTTCTGGGAGAGGTGGGCTCATTTGGGGGTGAACAGGAATCCTCTGCGTTGGTTGTAGTGGATGAGGATTTGGAGTCCTATTTGACATAGTTTTACCGTATGTGCCCTGACCCACCGCAGACGATAATGCTTCCTAAGGTAACTCAAGGTAGATAGTGAGTTTAATGAGTTTAATTCGACCAAGTACTTCAATGAACAGTTCGTGCCTCATGCCTCATTGTCCTGAATTTTCGGTTGCCGGAACTGCAATGACTCTTCACGTAATAAGCGTGTCTCGTTTGTTGATGAACGGGGTCATAGTCGGTTTTTGAGGGAAACGGCTTTTGGTACGTCCAACGTATCACTAACTGTGAAACAATAGGCCAGTAGGATCCCTCAGAGGATGGCTACGTATCGAAAGAACATGAGGACAGCAGATCTGGAAAGGCTTGGAGTGATCACGGCGTGGTGCAAACGGTTCGTGATGTTGTGGACTGCGCAAAAATACCCAGAACAGCAGCCGTTTGCTCCTGCAACACTTTCACTCCTTATCGTACTAATGTTCTCATAAGCTATTCTGATCATTCGTGACGGTACGCAACACACCAGTCGAGAATAAAAATTATTATTATATATTACATTATTATAAACAGAAAACTCATGACACGCCTGATGCACCCTTTTGCCAAATACTCGTCAAACCGTTTGACGCTCGCATGACCCTTACGAAGCTCTGCTAAGTTAACAAAGTTTTCTATTTATCTTGCAACACTGGGCAATAATCATGGGGCGCATTAATATGGTTTATGCTTTTGATGTCAGTGAAGAATGTAGATTGTAAACACATTGGTTGCGTAGATAATATTGTTGTGTTCATTCGTTCCCGGCGGATGTCAGTGGGCCAGAAGTAGCTGCAAGGCCAGCTGTCAGTATGCAGCCCAGCTCATCTATTGTTGTTTAACCAGTATGTCTGGTTGGGAGTGCTTATAAACCGCGCAGAATACCTTCAATTATCTTTGACCCAAGCAAGCTCCGAAGGCCGCTCGTTTATTTTGCAAGAGAGGGTGCAGACTACAACCCAGGGCGTCAATAGCTTTTTACCCGGTGCTAACCAATTTGCCCCAAAAATTCCAGCATTGTAAGACATGTTGCACCAGGTGTAAGATGGCCCGCTTTAGGGACGCAGCACAAGCACCCTACCACTCACCACATTTTCTCAGTACCTGCTTAAACTCTTTTTGAATAAACTACGAATATGCAATGAGGTCCCACTCCATGCTATAAAAAGTTTCTTTAGCAGTATTAATCGAAGCATTTAAGTCTATATCGCCTTTCAGCAACCGCAAAGCCACTCGTTGTAGTTGGTGAATAGTTCTGCGTCAAACTTGAAACTCGACTTCGGAAGTTCATTGTACTTGTGCAAGCCACTGATTAGTGCGATGGGACTGTAATGATTTTTCGTGCAGCGAAGAGTGAAGGGTAGACATTCGAAGTGCCATGACGGCGGGTGATCTGCCAGTGGCCTAATTGTCAGCGCACTCGTCAGCCCTTTGCATTGGCGGATGCTCATGAAAACGACCAGGTCCGTGGATCTGTGCGGAGTTGATTGCAAAACTTCAGCTACGTGCGGTGACCTAAGTCCGTCATACTGACAGCCGTTCACGCAGACGCTTAACTTTGCGATGAAAAGTGAACACAATGGCAGTATATATGTCAACCGATGAATACGATGCACCAAATATGCGCATAAAATTAATATAAAATCGAACAACGGTCGTTCTACATATAACATTACGCGATGCGGAACCTCTGTCAATAAGAAATCCGCCAGTACACATACGAGAACAAGCCACTATTTTGGACCTCGTTCGGAAAAACAAAGATGTATTGTTCAAATACATGACACATCACCGCACAAACAAACCATCCGAGCTCTCGTTGAGGAACGAAAACGGATAACCGAAGAGTGACACAACAGCTGAATCTGAGGTTTACAGAGAACAATATGCGTGTCTATACTCAGCCCCAGCGTCCTCGTCACATCCACTCTTGTCAAGACGTAACTACTACCCAATTTAAAGCATGGACGCACTTTTCATCATTCAGAAGGTGCCAGTCCAACGACCACTGCTTGGCAGCGTCTACATCCATTTGGAGGGCGCTGGCATTGGAACTCCAGGATTTCAAGTCGTCCGCAANAGGTCTTTCGTGCGTCCTGAGTAGACAACTTGGTTGGCGTACTCCAGGAGCGGTCTGACGTAGGCCCCATAGAGTATTTGGAAGGCAATGCGAGTAATAAGGGGGAAGGTATGTCGGATCATCCGTAAAATGGCGAATGCCTTTTGGGCCGATTTCTCAGGTGCAGCGAGAAGGACAGGTTTGAGGAGACCCAGATGCCCAAGTCCTTTTTGGCATATATCCTCATGATGAGTTCCGGCCCCTTTTAACCATGCGTAACAAATGCATTCGCTGAATTCCCTCCAAACGACACATGGACGCACTTTTCATCATTCAGAGGAAGGTGCCAGTCCAACGACCACTGCTTGGCAGCGTATACATCCACTTGGAGAGCACTGGCATTGAAAGTCCAGGATTTCAAGTCGTCCGCATAAAGTAGACATGGACTCGCAAGAACGTCTGGGAGGTCGTTGACGTAGATCAGAAACAGGAGTGGTCCCAAGACGGAGCCTTGAGGAACTCCAATGGAGACCGGCGCTGGAGAGGAATAAGTTGAGCCTATTCTCACTCTGAATGACCTGTCTGATAGGAACGCCTTGATCCAGCGATGGATTTTCCCTTGAATCCCGTAAGACTCGTGTTTGTGGAGCAGCGGGACGTGTGGGTCCCTATCAAATGCTTTTGAGAAGTCGAAAAATATGGCATCCGATATGAGTCCTTCGTCCTTGGCTTGGGTTAAGCTGTCCATAAACACGAGCATGTTTGTTACGCAAGAACGGTTTGGGAGAAATCCGTGTTGAGCTGGAGATATCAGATTGCTGGAAGTAAGGTGATCTAGGATGGCTCGCTTCAGAATGCGTTCCATCACCTTGCACGGCACGCTAGTGAGGCTTATAGGCCTATAGATGCCAGGCGATAGTCGGTCACCAGTTTTGTATATTGGTGTGACAATCGCTTCCTTCCAAGCAGATGGAAGGCGGCCCTCGTCAAGCGACTGACGAAACACCAAGTGTAAATGCTTTTCCAGTGTGGAGGACGTTCCCTCCAGGATCCTTGGATGGACCTCGTCGGGCCTCAACGCGCAGAATGGGTTGATCTTGTGCAAGAGTTGACGAATGTCTTCCGTCGTGAAGACCAAGTCGGTTAGAGGCCGTTCGTAGTTACGTCTTGACAAGAGTGGATGTGACGAGGACGCTGGGGCTGAGTATAGACACGCATATTGTCCTCTGTAAACCTCAGATGCCACTGTTGGGTCATTTGTCCTTTCTCCATTTCTGTCCCTCAACGGGAATGCGGATGGCTTGTTTCTGCGGCGGTTTCTCATGTACTTGAACAGTACTTTTTTTTCTAGTGAGGTCCAAAATAGTGGCTTGTTTTCGTATGTTCCATTGGCGGATTTCCGATTTACGGCGGTTCCTCGTTTTACGAAATGCCAGCTCATCTTCTGTGTCCCCTGTGGTGGACTTTTTGAAAAAGAGTTGGGATCATTTT